TGTGCTGCTTTAAAGCCTTTCTGCAAGGCTCAAAGAATGACCCTGGCAGGGAGTGCAGGAGCGTTGTGCACTCCTTGTTTAGAAATGGAGTGCATCAAACCAGGTTCCTTTAAAAGCTGTTTTAAGTGAGATGGAGGCACTGGAATTCCTTTGGGCAATGGTCCATTTAGCATAGAGCTACAGTGCCAGGAGCTGTTTGTCTGATGGTCAGTTCATGCTCTGGTCAGTGCAGGGCAGCCCCTCAAGAAATGCATGAGCCAAAGCCAGCAAGGAGAGGGAAAGAGCCGAGCTGAGCTGAGAGAGCTGGAGAGATGAAATGGCACAGATGTGCCTGGAGCACGGCCCTCCCCAGCAGCTTTGCTTCCAGTTCAGTGTTCAAAAAGCTGAAAGCTGATGCTCAGTTACTGGAACTCGGACGTTGGCACTGGAGCGCCACAGGCCTGCAGCCAGATTGCTTCTCCTTCAGCTTAAATTCAATGGGGTTTTTTTTGGTTGTTGGTTTTTGGTTTTTTTTGTTTTTTTTTTTTTGTTTGCTTATTTGTGTCTTAGGGCGACATTATGGCGCTTGTATCCCTATCCATGTGTTCTATTTATGCTGGATATCATGTTCTGTGCCTTCAAGACTGGCTCTGAAGAGCAACTGTTTTGTTTTGTTATCAGCCACTCCCCCACAGGTGGCGGGACACAGAGACAGGGCAGCACTTAGTGCTGCTTTTGCTTTTGGCTTTGCTTTTGGCTTTGCTCTTGCTCCTGCTTTTCTCTTGCTTTTGGTTCTGCTCGTTAGTTAGTTTATCTAAGCAGTCCAAATTTTCCCTGGACTGTTTTTCTTTCTCTTTCTTGGAACCACTAGAACCTGCTCTGGACTGGGACCTGGGAACACCGAGGGTTTGCACCTTGTGGCTGCAGCAGCTGCCCCAGGGCCGGAAGGACTGATAACAGAGCGACCACCCCCCAGAGAGACTTTCTGAATTTGTCATTTTTTTCAGAGCGGTGAAAGAGTGGTGTCATCTGGTATTGTTCATTTTGTGTGCTGGGGGATGCCGTGCCTGTTAAATAAACAGGTTCTTTCCACTTCTCTCCAGGGAATCCTTCCCAAATCAGTTGGGTTTGCTTTCTGGGGGGGCTCTCTTTTGGAGGTTTTCTCCCAAATTTGCCCCAAACCAGGACAAAATTTGGAGCCCAACACGTGGGGCTTGAGAGAAAGTAGAAAAATCCCTGGTCTGACTTCATTTTAGTGGTTATTACTCTGTATTAGTATAAAGCAGTTAATTGCCATGTTTTTTAAATTCATAATATCTCTTAAAGTGAAAGCTTGCATGCATTTCTGGTCCCTAGGTTTTTGGAGATCTTAATACCTCTATAGTCCCTGAGATTATTTTCTTATCCAAAAATAGTTCTAGTATTAGCCCTAATATGTAGTTTTTACAGCAGAAAAGCAGTGACCAGAAGAGCTCTCCTGCTGGTCTTGGTGGTAATGATTTGTAAGAAGTTTATAAATGTGCTGAAGTCTGTTCCAAATATGAATAATTCATAGCCATAGTTATGCACCCAGTTTGTTAGAGGAGGAGCAGGGGATGAGGCTTTTCAGTCTTTGCTTTCCTTCTTCTCCTCTGAATCTGTTACCTCCCTATTAGAAAATGTTCCGTTTCCCCTGAACGTTAAAGAAACCATCTTTCTGGTATTTAATCTGATAAGCTTCCTCTATACAGTCTGCAGCTTCTCTAGAATAAGGGCTGAAATTTCTAGACAGGCTGATGAGACCCCTGACCCAAAAGTAGACCCAGGCATAAAAAAACCTGAGTGGTGTAAGAAATGAAAAAATACAAGATAAATACTAAAAGAATTCTCTGACCCTATAGTCTGAGATTTTCCACATAAACAAATTCAAAACCTCGCTGAGGTGGGGAAATACCTGAAAGAGAAGTACCATAAAACCCTAAAGAGAAAAAAATCATTACAGTAAGCTAAGCCCTGGTATATGCTTATTGCACACTGCTAGACATTCTAGGGCAGCAGACAAAGGCAGGGGGGCAGGGAGATAAGTCAACAGCTATCCCAGTTACTCAGGCTACAGCAAACACCCCAAGCTCAAAGCCAGCAGTTAAACCAGACAATAAACCTCAACCAATGGCTGTTGCTACCAGCATGAGAAGTGGAAAGTGCATGGACAAGACTGATGGACCAGTGGATGATGATGATGATGATGATGATGATGAAGGAGAAGGAGAAGGACCCTTAACACTTCCTGACATAGAATCAAGGAACAAGCACAAAATCAAAAGCCAATATTGAGTCCTTTTCCCTAAAAAGCCATCATGGCCTAAGGAAGGATTACACTAGATGACCTGATGAATTAGTTAGCTGGTCCGTCTCTGGGATGCTGCAGGCGAGGCTACAATTCTGGATGGCACTGAAGCCAGGCATTTGGGATCCCTGTCACAGGATCCTGTCATTGACCAAGGAATGATGAGGAGGGCTAACCCTCACAGCCTCTGGGAACGGGTCCTAAGAAGTGTAGCACAAAGATACCTGTGTGCAGATGATCTCTATATGCAGCAAACCCAATAAAAGACAATAAAACAAAAAAATCTAACACCTGAAAGGAATGGCAGTAGCAGAAATTGTCTTCTCAAATGACATAACAACTAAAAATCCAGACTTAATACCATACACATCTGTAATGTAATGATAACTTGTACGACTTTGGCCACACAAATATGGTTCTGCTTTAGCCATAATAAAGCAGAATGACAAAAACAAGACCATGCTTAATATAGCCAAGAAGCTCCGAGCGTATGGAGATGCTGTACATGGCCCAACACATGCCAAAATCACGACAGCAGAAACATGTCTGCAGAAATTAGAAGACAAGATAGAAGAGAATCATAAGAAGATCAAAGAAAAAATTAAAGAAAACTTTCTCCAAATCTCAACAATACAAATCAGAAGTTCTAGTATCCAACGCAAAATTTCCCCAACCAGGGAGAGAAAGTACACCCCATGAGCTGAGCTGGGGTTCTTCCTGTGTGATTGCAGAGAAAACATGAAGAAATAAGATGGAAAATCTACTGCTGCTCTGGCCCAATGGGTGCGTGAATTGAAGGAAAGCAAGGCTCAAAAAGAAAATTCCACCAAAAGGAAAGCAGCTCCACTTGCCCATAGCCAAACTGCCAGGTATGATGATGACGATGACATGTCCGATCCCCTTAAAAGAATCTCCAGGACATATGTCAAAAAAAAAGTAGAATAACCAGGCTTAGAGGGGCCCTGCCTCTGGCCAAGAAAAGGCTAAAAAAACTGTGTAAATTTGTTTATCTGTCACATATGAACCACAAAACTATAAAACTTCAGTTGATACTGGTGCAGTGCACATTAATCCCTTCAAAACATGTGAAGACAAAATCTATTTATATTGCTGGTGTGACAAGGAAATCACAAGATTTCACTTTAGTAAAAGCTGATGTGAGCCTGACTAAAAATGAATAGAAGAAACACCCTATTATAACTAGCCCAGAAGCCCCATATATTTTGAACATAAATTACCTCCAAAGTAGGTACTTCAAAACCCCCCCCCAAAAAATCAGGTAGGCATTTGAGATAGTGGTTGTAATGACAGAAAGCATCCAGCAATTAAGCATCTTGCCTGGACTGTCCAAGAATCCATCTACAGTAGGACTTCTGAAGGGGGAAGAGCAACAGGTACCAATTGCCACTTCCACAGTGCACTGCCGACAGTATAGAACCACTCGAGATGCTGTGATCCCCATCCATACGATGATCCGAGAGCTGGAGAGCCAAGGAGTGGTCAGCAAGACCCACTCACCCTTCAACAGCCCCATTTGGCCTGTGTGAAATCTGAAGGAGAATGGAGATTGACTGTGGACTACCGTGCATTGAATGAAGTGACTCCACCACTGAGTGCTGCCGTGCCAGACATATTAGAGCTCCAGTACCAGCTGGAGTCCAAGGCAGCGAGGTTGTACACCACTGTTGGCATTGCCAATGCATTTTTCTCCATTCCTCTGGCAGCAGAATGCAGGCCTCAGTTTGCTTTCACCTGGAGAGGCGTGCAGTACACCTGGAACCGACTGCCCCAGGGGTGGAAGCACAGCCCCACCATCTGCCATGGACTGATCCAGACTGCGCTAGAAAGGGGAGAGGCTCCAGGACATCTGCAATATATTGATGACATCATTGTGTAAAAAAACAGCAGCAGAAGTGTTTGAGGAAAAAAAAATCATCCAAATCCTCCTGAAAGCTGGTTTTGCCATCAAAAAGAGCAAAGTAAAAAGACCAACTCGTGAGATTCAGTTCATAGAAGTAAAATAGCAAGATAAACAGCGTCAATTCCTACAAATGTCATCAACAAGATCACAGCTATGTCTCCACCAACCAATAAGAAAGCCCCGGCGGCAGCGAGGGAAAAGCCGAGCGGGGAGAGCCGAGCGGGGACCCGCCCGGGGCTCGGGGTGAGGCGGGGCAGCCCCGCGCCTGCCGCCACCGCCGGGGGTTTGCCCTGCGCTCAGCCGGGCCAAAGGGACTCGGGTTCAGATGCCAAGGGGATGGCACATGCCCGGGGTGACAATGACGTGCGCTGCGATGTGCCAGAACGGTGAAGGAACCGATCCCAGAGAAGGTAGCGGGGATCGCCGGGGAGAGCGGCCGTGGCGGGGTCGGGGAGCAAAACGGCCGCACCACGATCGGCCACGTTTCCGCATTTGATTGATCAAATCGGCTGCACCCTGATGGGAACCGCCGTGCCCGCTGTATCTGGCCGGGAGCGGAGCCCCGGCGGCGGAGCTCGGAAGCGGCTCCAGCCCAGGTGGGACCGCGGTCGGTGCTGCCCCAGCTCGGGGCTCGCTGCGGGCGGAGGGGCCGCGGTGAGGGCCGGGGGGGTTCAGGCGAGTTCCTGGTGCCGGCTTCCCCCGTGTGCCCCCTGCGCTGGGATCGCAGCCGAGGGAGCGGCTGCCAGCGCTCTCCTCCGTGCCCGGATGGCCGGCATGGAGCCGGTGCCGCGGCAGCGATGGCGCATCGCGGCTGCTCTCGCTAGGACGGAGGCGGCTGCTCCGTGCCCGGCACCGTTCCCGCCCGTGCGGCACCGGGCTCGGGGCCGCTGCTCGGGCGGGAGGTGTCCGTGCCCGGCTCGGGGCTGGCACGGCATGAACTTGAACCCAGTGCTTCAGAGCCCAGAGCGCTGCAGGCGCCGAGTGCGGGCACCAAGCGGCGCATGCAGCCTGCTCCGGGGCCGAGGCTTCTCGGCGCTGCGCTCTGTGCCGGGAGCCGCTCCGTGTGCCCAGGCAGGAGCCGCAGCGGCCGTGCCGGCGCTCGGTGTGCCCGGGCTCCGAGGCGCCGGGGCAGGGAATCATGCGGGGCACAATGGTGAGCAGCCCGGGGCTGCTGCTTCTCGCCCCTCGGCAGGCGGACTCCGAGCCGCAGCTGCCCCGGGCCAGCAGCAGCCGGCAGCTCCAGGCGCTCTCAGCGCCCGGCCCGGCACGGAGCTGGGCTGCAGCGGCTGCAGAGCCACAGGGGCCGCGGCTGCGGCCACCGCAGAGCTCCCGCAGGCTGCGCTTGTCTCCGCACCTGCTGCCGCACCTCTGGGCAGCGGCGACGGTGCAGCCACAGCTGCCCCCGCCCTCCTGAGCCCCCGCGGGGCCGGCACCAGCAGCGACCTCTCTTCGTGTCCCTTTCAGGGTGCCATCAGCGCGGCTGCAAAGCTGTTCCCCAGGCCGAGCTCCCAAAGGCTTTGCCAGCACTCCTGATGTCTAGAGAGCCAGGTGCCGTTTATTCCACGCAGAGAGATACTGGCTGTGAGCAGGAGGAGAATGAACTCTGCTCCATTTCTGGAGCTGTGAAGGAGCCCCTGAAGAACAGATCAGCAACAGGGAATAGACTCAGAAGATTCCTGGGTGAGTGCAGAGCCACCCCGTGTCCCCTCCCAAGGCCAGGGCTGGCAGGTGTGTGGCTGTTTCCCGATGTCTGGAAGAGGCCTCGTGCTCTGCTGGGCCCCATGCGTGGCTGGAAGCAAGAGCCCCAGCTGCCCCCAAGGCTGTGCAGTTCTCCTGCTGCAGCCTGTGCCCACAGCTGTGTCCCTGCCTGTGGCCAGGCTCTTGGCTCTCTGGCTGCCAGCTGAGGGAGGCCCACACTGCCTCAGGGCTCCCTGCTCTGCTCCCTGGCCATGGGCTGAGCAGATTGCAGGGCCGGCTCTGCTTCTGGCAGCCAGCAGCTCTTTCCTGCTCCAGGTGAACGGTTCAGGTCCCATCCTGTGGGCACGGCGGTGCTGATTCTGCTGCTCCTGGTGCTGGTGCTGGCTTTGGGGGCGGCCTTGGCTGTGCTGGCAGGTAAGGGAGGGGCAGCAGCCTGGGCCCAGCCCCTCGGGGCAGAGCGGGCTCCCTGCTCCCTGCACAGGGGAATCCTCAGAGCGTCTCCTCTTCCCCCTGCAGCACCACAGGTTCCAGTCACACCTGCGACACCACTGTTGGTTCTGTGCTGTCCCCATGCCTGGATTGGCTACAATGGGGTCTGCTACTACTTCTCACGGGATTACAGCACGTGGGAGCAGGGTCAGGAACGGTGCTCCGAGCTCAATGCCTCCCTGGCCATTGCCCAGGATGAGGAGGCCATGGTGAGTGAGGGGCTGCGGGCGGGGTGGGGTGGCTGAGGGCAGCCTGGGGGCGCTCCTGGGCCGGGCTCGGTGCTCGCAGGGCCGGGGCTGCAGCCCTGGGCCGGGGCCTTGCAGGGAAGGAGCCCCGGCGTGCGGGGGCAGCCCCGGGCACGTGTCCCCCCGAGGGGCCGGGGCAGCTCCCACTCCTCTCTCCTGGGCAGGATTTGCTCTTCCGCCTCCGCGGGAACGGCGATTTCTGGCTCGGGCTGCGCAGACGGGGCGAGCGCCTGCACTGGGGGGACGGCAGCAGCTACAGCTCCCGGTGAGTGCCGGGGAGCCGGGCAGGGCCTGGGGCCACAGGGGCACAAGGGGTTCTCCTGGCATCTTGGTTTGGCAAGACACGTGTCTGATAAGAGCCTTCCCTGAAATCGAAAATGCAAACCCCCCACCCTCTGAATTATTATAATTTTGAAATGGAAAGGCTCTCCAGCAAAGATATGGGAGTAGGAAAAACACTTCTTGACTAGGAGAACTAAAAATACAAATGTAGTCATCGAAACAAAAAAACCCCTACTGGCTGGGTCCGAATATGCCCTGACACCCTGTGGGTCTGGGTGTTGGTAGCAGTCCCATTCAGTGATGGCTGCAGCTCTCCTGCAGTAACAGGTGTGGTTGTGTTGGAGCTGTGATCCTGTAGAAGGTTGGAGTTTCCCTCAGAATGTCCGGTCATGGTGTAGATGGGCCTGGTCTTCCTTTTGGAATTCAGTGGAAAAGGCTGCTGTGGTGTTCCAAACCTCAGATTGTATTCAGGCAGGAATGCTTGGCTCCTCCTCCTGGGCGGAGCATCTCACAATGGGATGATAGAATTTTATCAGCCATGCAGCAACATTCACTTGCCCATTAACAGAATATATTTCCTGGAGGGAGGATTGATTATGGAAGAGATAAAGAAAACTGCCCAATTAACAGAAGATAACTGCTCGTCCTCTAACAGATGGGAATAAAAAAACCCTGTTTCCAACTTAAGGCACTGGGAAACCAGCGCTGACTCTGCTCCTCCCTGCAGGGCTCCTGTCTTTGGCAATTCCCAGTGTGTGTACCTGGCTGATGAGAGATTCAAGAGTGACAACTGCTCCAATGGGCGGCCGTATGTCTGCAGCAAGGCCCAAGCTCCCCTGTAACAGGGGCTGCACAAAGGACCTTCTCCACGCTGGGCAGTGCCAGCTTCACCTCTGAGCCCAGCACAGCGCTGTCCTTCCTCAGCTGCGCCCTGTGCCTTGCACTTCCTCTCAGGGTCACCTCAGTGCCTCTGCATCCCCAGTGCCAGCGCTGGGCTGGGGCTGCAAAGGAAAAGTCTCTGCAATCCATCCTGCCACCGATGCTGCCTGCAGTGAGTGCATTGCCCTCATTTGTGGGCAACATGGCTCTCTCTTGAAAATTTTTATGTACATTTGTTAAGGGATAAAATCCCACATTTGGGTGCTTGTCTGTGCACACATTTAACTTAACCTGTCTTCTGTATATACGTCACAGACACCTTTTATGAAAAATCCTTTCCTTAGGATTTTTTCTTCTGAGAATCAGAGAAGCCTCAGGATTGGTCTCATGTGGTTGTTTCTAATTAATGCCAATCACAGTCAGCTGGCTTGGACTCTGTCTGTGATGCAAGCCTTCCTAATTCATTCTTTCTTCTTCTGTTCTTTGCTAGCCTTCTGATGAAATCCTTTCTTCTATTCTCTTAGTATAGTTTTAATATAATATATATCATCAAATAATAAATCAAGCCTTTTGAAACATGGAGTCAGATCCTCCTCTCTTCCCTCATCCTCGGACCCCTGCAAACACTGTCACATATATACTGTTATATTATAGACCTTTATACATATTTATAGTAGTTCATACATATTCAAACATTCATTTGAGTTAACATGTTCTTTTGCTTGGTTTGAACCTTTGACTTGTCTTTGTTCCATCTTCTCGATTAAACGAATATATTTTATTTTTCAGCATTTCACAGTCTCTATTAAGCTATGGTCTAAGATAGAATACATTACACCTCTATTTATAGAAGCTATAGGGTGCATAGATAAACTGACAGATTATACTGTATCAAAAGCAGTAATTACAAATTGTACTGTATCAGGATTTTTGTGATCCATAATAACTTGCAAAACAAAAGTTAGTACATAAATGAGAACGCCAATACCTATATTTGTAATTTATAAACTTATACAGCAAGCTCAAATGGGAAATCATCACAAACTGGCCTGAAGGTGACGCTTCTGGATTGTCCTTGGAAGATGTAAGAAACCACCCTCACTTTTGAAATTTTAAAGGTTTTTTTAACCTTAAAAAAACACAACAGACTAAATAAGGAAAAATTACAGCTCTGGGGGCCATGTGCTCATTTACAAAATGGATGCTCTGCCTTTTATACCCTCAGCCCCTCCCAGAGTTTTGTCAGTGATCTCTTTCTCTGCCCTCCACAGGTGGAGATCACTTCCTCACACCTTGACTGGAGCTCAGGTGTTGTCCTGTGGCCCCTCCTGGCAATGAGCTGGCCCTCCCCAAATGCCCTGGGAACTGAGGCTGCTGCAAGGGGGAGGGAAAGGGGAATAGTGGGGGACATATTTGCAGTGACAGCACTCTACATTTACAAAACTTCTCCTCACATACACATAATATCTGTCTCTTAATTGTGAGAGCCAACCATCACAATATTCATATATTTAAAAAACCCCTCTTTTCCTGACTCATTTGGCTTGAAGAATTAACTGCCATTTTCAATTCTGATAATCTCTCAAAAAAATTTTAATGAGTCATACTAGAATCTGTTGATGAGGATGAGGACAGTGTGAACAGACGGAAAAAATCTCAGGTTTTCTTTAGACAGACATATTTGGAATGGACAAAATGGGATCACTGAGGTCTGGTGTGGCTTTTTGACCCCATCTACCGTGCCCATGTGGCTGCTACTCATAGCAGGGGAATCTTAGTGGTGAGTACAGAGGCCAACTCAGTCTTGCCTTCTGGTTCCTGTTGTATTAAAAGACAGCTGAGCAATGACAGAGGTCTGGGGTGCCTTTCTTGCCCCCACCTTGCCGTGCCTATGGGATTGCTGCCCACAGCAGGGCTATGGAATCTTCATGGTGGTGAACACAGCGGCCAACCTGGTCTTGTCCTCTATTTCTTGATTCACTCTGCTTGTTGGTCCTTAAGGAAATTGCCCCAATACATCTGATAGTTTCCTGTGTACTACCCCTCAAAAAATGCTTGTGATTCTCATCTATTAAAACAGGACAATTACATCAATAATTGATACAGTTCAAACTCCCTGCCTAAAGTGTTAGTTAAGCAATCATTAAGCTGGTGGCAGCTTGGCTCCACTTTTCAGCTGTCTTCAATCTTCCTTGGTTCTCTCTCACCTGCTCTGCATGTTACAGTCTATTCTTTGGGTTCTCTCACCAGCCTTTAATTCTGTTGCTGTGAGTCCCTCTCGCTCTGGGGTTGGCACAGCCCATTCAGCTCTCAGGTAGAAGGATCCTTCCAAGCCAAAGGGATTTCTGAGGCAGTCCCAGCCTGCAGCCCCTGGGTGCCTTCAGGCCATCCATCCAAAAGGAAAAGTGGCTTCTGGACCCTGAGAGAGCCCAGTGATCTGTTGGCAGCAGAAATCAGGAATGGAGAAGGTGATTCCAGCTCTGCTGGGTGCTGTTCCTCCCCATTAGACAGGAGAGGATCAAGCACATTCCATCAGCCTTTGCTTCCTCAGGGCATGAAATCCCTGAGGAGACAAGGCCACCTCAGGGCATCAGATCCCACCTGAGAGAAGGAAATGCTAAAAACCTCACCATGGTCTCAGCCACTGAAATGAGGAACTTTTTTTGTGGGTCCCCAATACCATTTCCAGCCAAGCCCAGCTGGTGTTGAAAATTGCATTCACATTCAGGGGGCAAAACCAATAACGAATCACAGACATCTGAGGTAAAATGAGGGTTCCAGAAAAGTAAAATTTCTCTTTGTTTTTAATAGAGGCAGATTTTCATCTGTTAAGCTCAACTCTTCTCTGACATACAAAGGGACATAAAATACAGAAACACTTTAGGTGCAACTTGAAATATTTGTTTTTTGGCAATTCTGTTTTTACATGAAGTGTGGCTGGATGAACACTACTGAAGCACACAAACACTAAGACTACTACTGCAAACTGCAGAAATTACTGAAAATTCTCTTCTACTGTCAGCAAGAGTCAACATGTCTGAAGGTTTCCTTGTATGGAGAGTAGCTAAAATGAATTATTCCAACATCAAAATCAACTGGAAAAAATTATTTCAGGTAAAGTGTTAAAGAAATGAACACCGTGTTATAGATATATATTATAGTATTGGATTTTTGCATATATTATGGATTCTATAAGTGTGGTGTTAATGTGACTTTGCTAAAAGTACATAGTTTCTATTTCTGTTGCTAACTAAAACTTAGGAATAGCTGATCTAGACATGCTTGTGTTAAAATGCCTGCTTGGTTGAGATAATATCCAAGGAATGTATGATGCCAACTATCAGCACTCATCTTCTGAAGGCAATGTGGACCCAGGCCCAAGAATTGAAGGTGATGATAAAATGGACTAAAACTACAACCAAGAAATGTGCATGCTCTAAATGCACAGGAGCCGAGGAAGAGCCATGCAAAACAGTTCTTGGGGCATGTAAACTACTTTGGGAAAAAATTTACACCAGGCTGATGCAGTGGAAATGCTGTAGAAGTGTGTTTCCAAACTAGCAGGTGTTGGGGAAAAGTTTAAATATGCACCAGGCTGATGCAATAGAAATGCTATATAATTTGTGTTTCTACACTAGCAGGTGTGCTCCACGCTGAGGGCCAAGACACACCCGGCTGTAACCTCTGCTTTGTTGTCTTTGTCTCCTATTAAACTCCTTTATGAAACTGTTATATTTTACCAGGAGAGGGAACAGTGTTTTTTCAGGTATTTTCTGGGTCATGTTTTCAAGATTATAAACAGAAACTAAAATGTCTGAGGGCAAGAGAGCATTACAGTGAGTAAGAGTTTGACATGGGAAGAATTTAGGGAAGTGACACAAAAGCTCTTTATCTAATTGAAAATCTGTTGAACCACTAAGCAGCTGAATATGCCTTTGTGAAAGATACTGTTAAAACCAAAGGAACCCGGGAATTTCCTCTTCCCCGTTTGGCCGGCAGTGAGGTACCACAGCCGGGCGGGCGCTGCCACAGGCCCGGGCTGGGCCCCCTCCCCATCCCAGCCCCGCTGCCGGGCAGGGAGAGGGGGATGCTGCGGGCCGGATGGAGCCGGCCTTGCTCTGATCTCACTGCTTGTTACAGCCCCAGCCCGGCCCAGCCGAGCCCCGGGAGCAGCCCCAGGCCAGCACCCGGGTTTTACCGCAGGGAAGCAGCCGCGGCCAGCGGGCAGGGCAAGGAGAAACTGCCCCTGTCCCACCCAGCCCAGCCCCGAGGGCTGCTGCTGCTGCTGCTGTTGCTGCTGGTGCTGCTGCTGCTGCTGCTGTTGCTGCTGGTGCTGCTGGTGCTGCTGCTGTTGCTGCTGGTGCTGCTGCTGGTGCTGCTGCTGCTTCTGCTGCTGCTGCTGCTGCTGGTGCTGCTGCTGCTGGTGCTGCTGGTGCTGCTGAGCTCCGGCCGGGCTGATCAGATCGGAGCCGCTCCCCAGCCGCAGCTCCGGGTCTGGAACGGGGTCAGGGCAAACATCTGCAGGCTCCAAGCAGCACACAAACCCTTTCAGTGCTTCAGTCCTCCCTCGAGTGAGAGAGAAGAACAAGATACAAACATGTAAAAGAAGAACATGAAAACATCATGGTCAGTCAGGAGGAAGTTAAATCCCAGATGGGAGGGACGAGGAGATGCCTTGATCTTAAAGCTGAAATCCTCTTGTAAGCTATGGAGAAAAGACACTTTTCCCCTAAAACGAATAAAACTATGGGAAGATGAAGGGTTCAAACTGATATCCAACAAAGGCCTCCACACTAAAATAAGCAGATGCTGAAGTATCTGTAATCCCCTGTCTGCCAACCCAGGTGGGCACTTGTCCTGAGGACAAGCCCTCTTCCCACTAAAGGCCGAGGCAAAGAAGGCACTGGGCACCTCTGTCTTCTCCTCACCTGCAGTTACTAAGGTCCTTCCTGCATCCAAAAGAGAACAAAAGCTGGTCTTACCCTGCCTTTTACCATTAATATATTTGTAAATAGAGTTTTTATTATACTTTACAAAAGTTGCCAAATTAAGTTCAAACTGAGCTTTGGCCTCCCTAATTCTTTCCCTACATACCCTAGCAACCCCCTTAAATACTTCCTGAGAAACCTGACCATCCTTCCAAAGCTGATACATCCTCCTTTTATTCCTAAGGTCCTTCAAACCC